TGGGCTCTTCCCCTTCAGGTTCCTGATTCAGGTCCATTGCATGTTCCTGATCAGGCTCCTTGTCTGGGAGTGCCCCTTCTGTCAGCAGGTCACTCTTACTTGGACACCCCGAGCCGCCACTGTATCTTTCTATCTATCTGTCTATCTATGTATCTATCTATCTATCTATCTATCTATCTATCTATCTATCTATCTATCTATATCTCACGATATGACTACTTGCTTTGTAGATAAATCTTCTAACAGATCCACCACATACAGTGACTATCAATGACGATTATAGAGTTCTGAGAAATAAAATCAAATTCGGGGTTAACAAGTAGGTACAATCGTTGGTACAATTCAAAAATAAGTGGCATAAGTACCTTGTAGTATAACATACCCCGGGTTTGTTCAGTAAGTTTGAACGATGAGAATTTTTATTATATTTAAACAACAAATCTTCTGAAAAACGAAATGAAAAACAAATAACACCTACGTTGTGGAAACTTACTCAATTTCACTTACTGGACATGCGCCCGACATGCAAGTATTTGGGATATTTAAGTTGTGAAATGTAAAAGAAACGAGAAATTTGTGAAACGTCTACTTTATTATTAAAGTAAATCGTACCGTTCTCATCCTGGAACTAACGAGGGGAAAGAGCACGGCAGAGAAACCCTCGATCTAACATTCCTCAACGTAAAAATCGAAACATACTGTGTTATTTTAATAATAATTGTGTCATTAATTCAATAAAAGTTGAAACTAGGTACCGCCCCTGTTCTTGTGCTAAAATTTTAATTACACACACTACATTCAATCAACACTACCTATAATCAATACCGAAGAGTTTTTGGTTAGTTAGCCGGTCTGCCGGAGGGTACTGAGGTCCCATACGGGATCCTACTCAGCTATAGTTGTTATTTTGAGCCAATATCTCTTTCCTTTCTTTGGAAGGATATTCGCTCGTCAAGGTAGGAAAATGTTAGTAAATTCAACAAGGCCCTAATGCACGTTCTGAATACACAAAATCAAAATCTCAGCGCAAAAGACAGCACATAATTTCTTAGGTTTTAATTTACTTCTTCATCTGGATTGTTTACAGCATGAAACGATTTTTGTTAAATACATGAACAATGCACATGTTATAAAAAAAATGTAATAAACAAACAAAAAAAAACATAAAAATGAAAAAAATTATACTAGTATAGATAATTGAACTCTCAAAAACAAAATAACACTCATTCAACTGACCTGTGATTGCTCCTTGACACACACACTAATAACAAATGGGATTGAACAAACAATTTAATGCAAAATAAAAATTGAACAATGAATTATTACAGACACGCGTCTAAGGGACCAGCTCAGCTTGTTCTCTAGTCTAATGCCTAATCGCTTCCTCTCTACCTCCCCTTCGTACGCTTCGGTAGGTACCTTTCCGTTGCAGCGCGCTCTCGTTCTCATCAATTCCATAGAGCAATACATGGTTGCAACATTTACCCTTTATTCAGCAAACTCTTTTTCAAAAGTTAAGATTTGAAGAAATAATATTTTAAATAGGTGGTTTTCCTCAACCTACTTTTAATTTTCTTTAACTTTCAAAAGGATTTCGTGAAATCGGAACTTTTAGCGTCCCGACGTATAGTCTATCGGGACACGGGACAAAATCCCCAATATCGGGAATGTCCTGTTAAAATCGGGACGCCTGGCAACCCTGAATGGAAAGCCTCCGGGCATAAATTTCGTGTTCTCTGTTCCTTTTTTTCTAGCGCCCTCTGTGATTTGATTATGAGATCGTTGTCCTCATACCATTACTTGCTACTGTGTTTGAATATTGCCTCGTTACAGCAATCAGTATGTCGTCTGCATTTTCTTGTTAATAGTACAACAGAAGACTTTTGGTCGTGGCGCCATCTAACACTTGGATACAGCACTAAACAACAGAGAACCCAATGATTGAGAATTCGGATTTCTTCATTGTCTTATGAAGCAAAAACACCGCACAGTGTGTTGGAGCTTTGGTTAACCACTTGTGTATTTCCAAACATACTGTCAAGAATTCTTTGATTTTTGAAAAATCAATTTCGAAGATCTATCTGTCGATATGTTTCAAAAATTCCATCTAACAAATTCCGCCTCAACGAACATTACATTTGTGGTGGGGGTAATTTGGTAATTTTGTAGAGGCGAGAGCTAGAGTACGCCCTCTTAACAATAAACAGCTTTAATAATTAACATTACAAAACTTACATATACATAACACGATCTTTTATGTATTTTATTTTAAACATGGTTTTTATTTGTACGATAGAATATTTTGAGTTGAGATTGTTGTCTTTCTTGCTGCCTCGTTTACATGCAACTAAGAGCTATCGGAACTTTCTGATTGAAATTGATAATTTCTTAATTTAAATCAAGCCAAGGATAACAAAGTTTAATATCGAATAAATTTTTATTACCATGAGCATTCTCATTACCCAAATTAGTATCTTAAATATCACCCATGAATAAATCATAAATTTGAGGGTTTTTGTAAATACAAGACCTTTTGTATTTCGAAGCTTTCTATTCCTCCTGTATATTATACTTTCTCTAGTTATATACGATTTATCATTAACAATTTCTTTCACTTTACCTCTGTCTCACGCTTTACCGACTCATAATAATACATTTTCACATTCTTTCTAACTTTGTCAAATCTCTAGAATTTCTATCAAATATGTTTTTTTCCTTCTATTCCATTTCGAATGAAAATGGAATACAACATATTTGGTTATTTGACCGATTGTTCGATATATAAGAAGTAAATGTACGCCTTTTCCGAACTGACTTTTCTAAGCATCTATTTATAGTCCAAGAGGCGGCAATACTAACGGGTATGTGATCGTTGCAATGGATAATTTCTACATAAAACAATAGTTTGGTTGCCTTGATTCTCATGGCCGTGAAGTTGTTTTATAAAAAGATACTTTTATGAATAGAACAAAACCATAAGTAAATAAATAAGAAGTACCTTGCGGTATAGGGGGTTCTCATCATGTGCGGAAAACACTTTATTAACACAATTTCATGTTGCTTTTTTTGTCTAAAGACCTACAGCCATATGCAAAATCCTCTTTACAGAATCCTCTTTTAACTTTAAAAGTGACTTTGAAAGCTGTCACTTTTAAAAATGTATATTCAGCAAGCAAAATAACGCGCGCGCTCGACTTTCAATGAGGGCTGCCATCATTTCCGGCCATCAAAATCGAGGTAACCCTATACCGGGTGTCTACGAGATTAGTTTCGCGCTGGCATTTGGTGATTTTTTTTTCAATGGCAAATATTTTTGGTATAGAGTATAGGTTTGAGAAATGTCATCTTTTGACATATGTGTCAATGTTTGGTTACTTCCGGTTTGACTGGAAATGACCCTAACTTCGTAATTTCGAATGGCATCCCAAGAATTTTTTCGCATTTTTGGGATCTACGGATCATGGTGTATGAAAACGTCAAATTTGAACATTTTTGAAGAAACTTTAGAATCCTGGATGAAAATTTATTTTTGAATAGAAAGTGACAGAATGACCTTTATACTGTTTTTTTCAACTCAAACGATTCTAGAAAAATGCGAACGCCAAGATGTTATCCTTTGCTTGTTCTCCAAAGGCTTCCAAAGTTGAAAAAATCACATTTTACGTGATAACTCAATGAAATCAGTGAAATCACCCAACTTTCTCAACAAGAGATTTTTACCTTTTTCAAAACAAAACCAACTATGCATTAAAACTTTTCATTTATGCCAGTTTTAAATTATTTTCTCATTATTTTTATTATGCTCTACTATGAATGATGAAACTACTTATAAATGAACCCCTGTATGAAAAAACGCTGTCTAAAGGGAGCTGGTGGTCTTTTTTTATTTGTCAAGCCATTGACAAGATCTATGGACAAGATATGTTTGTTTGCATAGACATTTGTCATTGTGTGGCATCTCGAGAATTTGTAAATACAAAGTTTAAATACAGGGGTTGATTTATAAGTAGTTTCATCTTATTATTTATAGTAGTGCATAATAAAAATAATTAAAAAATAATTAAAAACTGACATAAATGAAAAGTTTCAATGCATAATTGGTTTTATTATGAAAAAGGTAAAAATCTCTTGTTGTGAAAGTTGGGTGATTTCACTGATTTCATTGAGTTATCATGTATTGTGAAATGTAATTTTTACAACTTTGGAAGCTTTTGGAGAACAAGCAAAGGATAACAACATGACATTCGTATTTTTCTACGATCGTGTGAGTCGAAAAAAACAATTTAAAGACCATTCTATCACTTCCTATTCGAAAAAAAAAATTGATTCAGAATTCTAAAGCTTCTTCAAAAATGTTCAAAATTGACATTTTCATACACATCATGATCCGCAGATCCCAAAAATTCGAAAAAATTCTTGGGATGCCATTCGAAATTACGAAGTTAGGGTCATTTCCAGTCAAACCGGAAGTAACCAAACATTGACACATATGTCAAAAGATGACATTTCTCAAACCTATACTCTATACCAAAAATTTTTGCCATTGAAAACAAAATCAGCAAATGCCAGGGCGAAACTAATCTCGTAGACACCCGGTATATAATTTGAGAAGACATATTAAAGAATATATCTATAACATAGTTCCTTCGAAAAAAGAGGGGTAGTTTACGCCCAGCCACCAAAGGGTTGCGGCCATGAGAATCGAGGCAACCCATCCATTTAGTTTAAAAGTAACTATGAGCTATTCTTTTATGTGAAAATTATCTATTGCAACGATCACATACCCGTTAATATTGCCAGCTCTTCTACTATTAACTATGTCAACACAATCCTCAGGCAGAGACGTCAACAAATTAATTAAAGATGGTGGGGACTACTAAACTTTAACTTCAAAGTTATACTTATAGAACAGGTAGTTCATTGCCACTGTTATTTCAAAGGTCAAAGCAGCCTCATAAAGCCCAAGGGATTTATCTTAATGGGAAAAGGGAAAGAAATACAAAAAATGCAGTACGTTTATTTCGAAATTTCACGAAGGCATATTTAACACGGTCTTGATTGCAACCATCTCTAGCGAAAGATCATTTCACATTCTAAAAGACATCAAGAAATTATGCTGGAATTATTGAATTACTCTACATAGACGTATCAGTAAACTATATAATTTCTTAAAAGATGACGTAAACAACTGACCGCATGGATGAGTTTGAACCGGAAAAACCATGGTTGCTCATATGCTTTGCGCGCTTTAAATTTCATGAATGCATTCTTGCTATTTCGCATTACTATTTCAAATACCTTATGTAGTTATGGCGTGAAATAAAATTCTATATAAAACATTCAATGTTTTAATGTATATGTGATAAATTTGAATGCAAGTATTTTTGAAGCTAATACCTACAAGAACAAATAAATGTACTTCAAAATATCATCGTTTCGGGAGTATTATACATAGGTATCCAATAAGAAATCATTTAACAGGCCACCTAAAACTGTGTTTCAACATGAAAAAGTGCAGTTGGTTTAGCTTTGACACAATAGTTTTCACGCATAAATTTCAGAGAGCATGTGTTGTGACAGCATTCCGAAACTAGGCCATCTCTCTTGTGCTTGCTATTCAATAAACGATTTTCAAAGCTTTCTCCATTGGCAACTAATACGTCATAATTGGATGAGTCTTCATAGGATTCTTCTAATTGTTCCATCAACTCGAAAATATCCAGATCTGAAAGTATGTAAAGATATTTTGCAATTTGTATGTGATTGCACTTGTGGATGTGAGGTTTGAAGGTGATTGGGGAAGGAGTGGAGCATGAGAAACTGAATGCGACGTGTGAAGAGAAAATTATATTTTCTACGAGGGTAGGTACTATTTTTGCGTGCACAAAGTATCCTTTTGCCGCACTTCTATTGGGCTTGATGAGTGCGTGAAAAGGGTATTTTTTTATTTTTTTTTGTTTTACTTTGAAATAAAATTATACTTAGTCAAAGGTTAATCAACGCTAGTAGAAAAAATATGATTCCTAACACGTGAGCAGAGTGTTTTTTGAGCTTCTCCGTCTTGCATTAGCGTGCGGAAAAATATCACGTTAGGAAAACGACCATGAGACTGGTGTAAGAAAGTGTGTTCGAAAAACATGCTTGTTATTCATTTTACGTCTTGTTATGCGGTTAGGCGTAGGGATGTGGAGACCCCACGATTTGAGTTCAATACTTGATCATGCAATTAACCACTCTGAGCTCGAGGGACCCATTCGTCTTAGTTTCTATGCCATTGGGTCGGAACTTGAGCTTAGGGACCGTGGGTCAGCTGAATGTGCATCAGCATATCCACGTTAATAAAAGTCAGGCACAGGCATTTTCTATTTTAGGACGCATGAGACCATCAAGTCCAAAGCACACCAAAGTCCAACAAGCAAAAGCAGAAGTTCAAAGGTAAACGCAAGCATTAAAGAACCAATGGTGGATAACAAACGAAAGGCTGGATCCAACAGCACCGGGGCCTTCTTCCAGGCTACTAAGATGGTTTACGGACCAATCACTTAAGGACTCAATCCCCTACGATCCAAAGATGGGACTGCTAAATTCTTTAAATAAGGAGGTCCACACTAAGTGCCCAAACCAACATCCTAATAAGTACTGCCTTAACTTAGAGATGCCTCCATAGTTACCATTTTTGAAAAGGCAGACAAGGCTCGATGTGGAAACTAGAGAGGAATATCTTTCATCACTTAACGTGCACACAGCGACCTACCCCCCTTTTTGATAATATGAATGCAGCCGTCCTAAGCAACGACGGACAAGGAGAGTGTTTTCAAAAAATTACAGGCGATAAACAGTGCTGTATACTTCACCTTGTCGGGGGTCACCTGCTGTCAGGAGTGGAAATCCTGTACAGACTTGATGACGGCTTATTCAATCTAAACAGATTACGAGTCAAGACATCGATAATTACTTCAATATGCTGACGATAACGTCGTGATGGCCAATACAGAGGAAAATCTTCAAGCAATTATCAATCCATTCAATCAGGCATACAGGAGAATCGGCCTAGAGGTCAACTTTAACAAGGCGCAGATTCTGCAGCAACCAGCACCGGATACTAACCCAAGCCTCAAATATAAATTACCATTCTTTGCAGAACGTAGAACACTACCCATACCTTAACAGCCATATGTCAACGAATGCAACCATGTAGACGCTGAAATCCAGCATCGCTTGAAGTGTGCTAGCCCGCAAACACGAAATACGCGCTGAGACCAAACTTCGCGTCTACAATGCAGTTGTAATACCAACACTTACATATGGTTGCGAAACGTGGATTACCTATAGAAGACACATAAAAAGCATAGAAAAATACCACCAGCGATGAAGGATCCTACGGATTAAATGGCAAGACCAAGAACAAACATTGGTGTTTTAGAGGAGGCCAAAACAACTTGGAACCTCGCGGGACAGGTCACCTCGTCCGATTGCCCGAAACACGTCTTCCACTACACATTCTTTACACTCCGAAAAAGGGAAAACGAAATCAAGGAAGTCAACAAAAACGCTACTAAGGGAAAATATGGCAAAGTGCCGCATTGATACCAGCAACAAGGAGGCGACCGCAAATGATAGGCCCTCGTGGTTTTGAGTAGTCCACGACGGACCACGAATTTTTGAAGAAAAGCTATGCAGACACGAGACCGACAAGAGGGAAGGAGCGAAACAACAGAGGAAGAGACAATGCTGCCAGAGCCTGGGTGTGCCGAGACTTTGGAAGAGTGTGCGGCTCCTGAATTGGTTTATATAGCTATCAGAAAAAGCACAATCGACGACAATAAGAATGGAATAAAAGATAATCATATTCGGTATGGAATGATCATAGACGATGAAGTTTCACCTATTTTTTTCGGTACCTACCTATTGGGATTAGATTAACCAGTAGCTAGGATAAGTTTACAATCAACCCATCCGGCTGTTAATCAAAAAAAATTACAAATTAAAACAACAGCGACGGTCAATGTAAACCATTTCCGATGCTGCTCTATTTCCACAATATTATCATAAAAATAAATGAAAAATTCTAAAACTTGTACATTGTTGCATTAAAATATGTTCGTGTGTGTAAAGTATAGGTAGTACTTAAATTACCCGAAGATCATAAGATATTCGAAACTCACGTGTTCTTTTGGACATATTGTTAGGGTCGGGGAACTCGTCACAAATTTCGTTCATCACAATATCGAGGTATCCACACCATCGCAACTTTGTATTTTCGCTTCGTACTTTCGAGAATATGTAGGGTTTGCCACAAGTGTTTCTCATCATGAATAGATAAAAAAGCAGAAATGCTACTTTAAAATTCTGTAATTTTCAGTAAAAAAAGTTATAAATCCGTTTTCTATTTTAGAAACAAAAGTTATTTCAGGAACAAAAGTATCAGTTTGTTTGAAATTCGAAATCAGGAATTAATAATTTATTTTGTCTTGTAGGTACTCACCATTTTGTGTATATAATATGCATATGTTCGTACATCTAATAGGGTTGTTAGAGCACTAAAGTTTGTTAAAGATTCCCTTCCTTTTATAGAAGAAAATACATAGGAATTTTGTCACACAAGGACGTCTGTCTTCTGCCACTAATTCAGTGAAAAGGAACTAAACACCATAAGGTGATTCTGACAGGTGTTAAAGGTAATATTATTTAAAGCAGCAAATAATTAGTTATTGCTATTTTTAGTCTGAACACCTACGTTATTTCATGAATATCAAGGTCTTTGAAGGTCTTCAGCTAATTTTTAAATCTTTCGTATTTTCTTGTAGGTATATTATGTACATACATACATCCCTTTGAACTAACAATTTTTTTTTTGGACAACCAATGTATGGTTGGGAAGTTTCAAAATAAAAGTAAAATATTTTCATAGAAGTTAACAATTTGTACAAAGTGACAAAATTTATATAGATATTAGGGAATAGCTTTTGAAGAACCTATCGCCGGACCGCTAGTAACAAAACAATCCTTATGTTTATTGAATAAATTTCAAAGCTTTGTCGATTAGAGTTCAGTTTGTGCTCCTTTGTCTAACAGCTTTAGGCAGCGAATTTAAGCAGTCTCGTATCCTAATTTTCATCTTCGTTTAGCACGATCATAGGATAGAAACTTAATTAGTTCCGATTGTCCAATAAAGCGAACCAAGGCAAATTGAGAGCCCTTTCATCAAAAGCATGTCTTTTATTTCGTCCCTACATTATAGGAATTTTAATTCAAAAACGAAAGCCAAACGGAGCAAATTTAATTTTTGCCATTAATAATAATTGGAATATTAAATAAATCTTGATTGTTAATTTGTAACGAAAAATGGATAACTTTTTTTCATTTCTCTTCATGGTTCGCAGAAAATAAAATGTCACTGAAGTGTTTTTCTGGGACATTCACTACTGTTACGTGTAGTTTTCAGTCAATCAAGTTAGGAGATGGCTCGACATATTTTTGCTGCCTTTGGTCTTTTACTACTCTGTCCTTGCCTGATTTTGCCTAGCACTGAAAGAAAAGGGAACTATTATTATAAAATCTTTAATATATATTTCACATAACAGTTACAATATTTATTCTCCATGAAGATATCCACAGCTTCTGGCGATAAGATTGATTTGAGATAAGATTGATTTGAGATAAGATAATTATCGTATAAAGCAAAATAATTACCATTTTTTTTTGAGTTTTTACTATTTTGTTCTCTGTTCTGTGTTCTGTTCTGTTTCCATTGTGCAACTTTGAAAACATCAGATTTTCAGCTTAAAATAATAAGAAAATTTAGATAGGATTAGAATAGGAAAATGTAAACAAATAATAGTAGGGTTAGGAAATTGTTTAAATCAGACAATGAACCAAAATTTGAATATTGAGTATTGAATGCGCAATATGCATTAATTCAAACTGTCCGAAAATAAACGAAAAATTCCCTAGAATTCAACTCGTGTAACCAGAAATTCTACTCTTGGAGGAATTTTTCTTTTTCTAGAATCACGCAGAAGAGAAGCCACGTTATAGCTTTCTTCTCAGGCATTTTGGCCAATTTGAGTGAATATTTGGAAAGTAATTAAACGGTGGCTATTATTCTTATATAGCACCACAGCAAGTATTTGCTAATTTAGCAAGATTTTAGTAGGTACGTAAAAACCCAAATTCTGGAAAATAAGTTTGATTCGTGTTACGTGTTGAGTGTCGTAAAATCATTTTGTTTTGTATTCTGATCCCTGTTAGAGTTTTATGTCCCCAAAAACGTAATTGATTGCAGTACTTACCTCAATTCTTGTTGAAATCGAGTTTTTATAGAGTGAACTCATCTCTCTTTTAGGCCTTTTATATTGGGTAAAGTTACATCCCTTTCTGCTGTAGCTGTCGTTAGATGCACAAAGGCACCTGATTGCTGAATTGCTGATGCTCAATCCTGAACCTGATAGATTGCTTGTGGAGCTTTTGGGGTCTGTGAATCTCAATCGTCCCCCAAGAGGTTCCTAGTAGTACCACTCCATCAAAGAACTACATACTCAGGTTTGCGTATTGTTGTGCCGTTTTGGGAACCATCCACCCCGTCTGTATTAAAGGTTCCACCATCTCCTTGGGAGCTGAAGCCTCTCACCTGCACCACTATTCAAGATTATAGCCAGTTGAATTACCACTACCTGTCTAGAAAATTACCTCATCATCCTTGAGATTTAAATTAAGTTAATTTTATCATATTATTTTGATTTGCTGGAACATTCCAAGTAGTCCAAATTAGTGTAAACACACGTCTAACACTAACAAACCTCAATTAGTGGATCTGTAGACAGGGGCCTATTTCATAAAAATGAAGAGTTGAAGAATTGAGGAGTGAGGAACGACATAATGTTCCATTTCATTTCATAAAAGTTTTGAAGAGTTGAGGAGTAGACTCAAATTTATTTTGAAACAAAGACGACATTTACTTTCCACTCAACTTTTCACTCGTCGCTCATCAACTTTTTATTTTTATGAAACAGGCCCCAGGTTTAAATATTGATCTATTTACGACGGTATTTTGAGTATTTTGGTATTGATTTAAGAGGCGTGAACCGTATCTAATTATCACCCTTCACTTATTTGAACTCTATGAATGTAATTAGGACGGGGCAGGCATTCAGAGTTGAGCTCTCAAAGCGACAGCATATGCCAAGCCAAGAGAGAACTCAGTTCAAGACAGTTAGTTTGCGTGCCGAGGGGAATGTTGACTAGTGCCATTTCCCGGAGCCCAATCCGACTACCAGTTAGTGTGCCAGCTATTGTTTTCAATGTGCCAGTTATTGTGAAGTTCCAAGTAGTGCCAGTTTGTGTGTGCCACCTAATTCCAAGATGTCCGACAAATCTCTGGAAGAATGGAAGGCCTCCATTACACAACAAATCCAAGGTCTGCAACAGCAGAACCAAACCCTGAAGTCCAAGCTAGAACTTCTGAGAAAGGAAAACCTTAAGCTAAAGGTTGCCGAAAGCGCCTTCCACCAGGCAGACAACGCCAAGTCCGCTGAAATTCTGCGACTAACCAAGCTGATCGACCTCCAAAACATAGAGATCGGCGACAGCAGCGACAGTGGTGCCGACGAATCCGACACCGAATCCCAGGCACTATCCCAGCGCCAGCACGATTATGAACCCGACGTTGACGACTTCCAGCCCGTCCAGTCTCGACGGCGGAAGAAATCCTCCGATAGCAACAGCGGAGAGCCAGCCCTCAAGAAATCTTCAGTGATTGTGCACACAGCACAATCAAACACAGCCGGACCCAGTGCTCTCAAAAAAGGTTTCGACCTACGCCCGCCACCTGGCTTCAACCTGCAAGGTTTCCAGACCAAACCTCCAGAGCCCGCCACAGCTCCGAAGGCGAAAAACGAGAGAATCCCGCCTATTGTTCTCAGGAACAAATCGAGGTACAACGATATTGTAAACCACCTCAAAGCACAGAAGATCGAATTCGGACCGACTACCAATACCAATGAAGGTATCAAAATCCACCCAAAATCAGGCGACGACTACAGGAAGATCCAATCTTACCTTGAAGAGACCCAAGAACCCTTCCACACCTTCTCCTTCCCAGAGGAGAAGAAACTAAGGGTGGTGATCCGAGGACCCCTCGAACACTAGACAACTGACTTCATCAAAACCGAACTTGAAAAGTTAAAGTTCCACCCGTCAGCCGTAATCCGTTGGTACAACGCCAAAGGCGAGCCAGTGCCTCTGATACTAGTAATAGTACCGTCAGCAGAATCCAACATCTACAAAGTGATGACAATCCACCATGTGAAAGTCCGAGTGGAAACGCAAAAAACCAACCAGCGCTCCACTCAATGCCACCGCTGCCAATTACATGGACACTCACAGTCGAGATGCCAAGCCCCGCACAAATGCGTCAAATGTGCAGGCAACCACCCGTCCTCAGCCTGCACCAAAACCAGGGACACCGCCGCCACCTGTGCAAACTGCGGTGGTCCCCACCCAGCCTCCTACCAGGGATGCAAGAAACACCCCAAGCACGCCAGGAAAGCCAGTTCCAAAACCGCTCCCAAAACGACGTTCCGCTGGGGTGACCAGCAGCAGATGAACTCAAGCAGACCGCTTCAACCAACAATTGATGCGATCGCCAAGCAGCTCGGAGACCTGCAAAGACAGCTAAACGTCCTCCGTTAAAGGTCATCCTCCACTAAGGAAAACAATAACCAGGGGAGCCACCTACAAACCCCACAAAGATGATCCAGACATTCAGGGATCGCCAACCACCATACCAGGACCTGGGACTCCAGAATACGTACTAACATAAATTTAGGAACATAAAGTATAATTACCTTTCCTACACCCAAAAAATCAAAGACATTTAGCCAGGACAAAAAAAAAAAAAAAAAAATGTAATTAGGAAATTGATTATAACTTTTGATCACCAGAATGTAAGGTAAGGTTTGGGAACTTTAAGACTGTTTTCGTATTTCTGTGTAGGTAGATATTTAGTTTACTGGCTTTATTTACATTATTTACTGATTTGGGCCAGTGAATATTTTTATTTAAATTATTGAAATATTGATGTATCCCCTGATCAGGGCCGCACTAATGTTCTTTGTTGAGAACCGCCACTTAAGGATAGTGTCAAGTGACTTGAAAATCATTGCAAATAAAAAATCAAGAAATAAGTATATAGCTATAGTGGAGTGTGTCCCAAGAATATTTTGTACTAGTATCGGAATCAAGAAGTATCCAATTTGTCTACAAATAAACCAAATATTTCACACAAATGGAGATACACCTAGATACACGTCACACAGCACACTCTCTGCAGTGTCCTGTGTACCAAAAAGTCATTCAGAACAACAAATCAAAAGTAAACTATAGTGTATAGCAATAACAGCTTCCAAATAGAGTAGGTACCTATCTTCTCACGTATTGGGTAACCAAGAAAGAAATACGGATAATAGTCATTGTCAATTAAGTTCCAAATTGAGATTGGTCCACATAAATCCTACATCAATATGTATGAATTT